TGAGCAAAAACTTCTGCACTTAAGACAAAAGTCAAACAAATAAAAGTTGAAGATAAAGTGGGGAGGTGGATACTAGTGGAATCCGACGGTAATTTCGGATTCATCCGACTTTTGATCAACCTCTGGTTTGTTCCAAAAGTTTCATAATATTCATACGGAGGTCCCGGTAAAATTTCAAGACGATCCGACGGCCAGATCAAAATAAGGAATAAATTGATTAGTTTTCCCTCTAGGGTCAATTTGATCTAGTTTTGAGTGATTTTGAGAAAATAAATTTTATATTCATTCTTAAGTAGGTTAGTTGAGTATGTGTATTAAATTTTATCGAAAAATAACATTGTTTAATTTTTGACTTTTTCATATCAAAATATCGAGCGTGTAGAGTTTCTCAATTTCGGAATAGGCGATGTTTTTTCAACTTGTTTCTAAATTATTCGATAATTTATTTATGATGCTTCAGCATGTTTTGAAATATATGATTGGGTGTTTTCAATATTTATGTGAATCCGTACCCAGATCAGGATTTCTGAATGTAGTTTATACTAGTATTTTGGAAATGATCATATTACTCGTGTTGTTCATAGTAAAAGAAACTCCGGGGTCTTTTTAAATGAAATGTAAGTGCACACAGGTTTGAGTAACAGAGGGTTTATGTGGCAGAGGTTACCTTTCAGGTTGAGGCCGTAGAGGATTTTTCATTGAGTTCGTAAATGCATGGGTGGCCCTATTGGTCTTCGGACTTGAGTACTGAATTGAATCATATTGACTTGGGAGTGTATTTTCCTTAGGGTGAAAGTCCCCTAAATTATTGGATCGTATGTTTGTATGGATCATATTGACCCTGAGTGGTCTATTAGGATTATTTGTTCACCGGTGTGACACTGTACTAATGTTGTGACCGTATTATTGTTTTCAAACCCAATTGTTTTCGCTCAATATTTACTGTTTCTCATATAGATGTATCAAATGCTCATTTGGATTTTTGCCCAATCATGCTAAACTATACTATTTTCAAACTTGTTTGCTTGAAAATTAAGTTATTTTACTGAGCTGTTGATGCTCACCCTACATTACTTTCCCTTTTTTAGATGTGAGAAAGCTGAGAGATGTGAACATAATAACCTACCAAGGTTTTTGTATATCTTAAGAAGATGTATCCAAAGTTTGTAATAGAATAAAATAAAACCTAACGTGTAACGTATACTTAATTGAATAGTATGTTGTAATAGTTCGAAATGTGTTAGGTTAAAATTTTTTGCATATGTTTATACAATAATTTGTGGTTTGTAAATTGTAGGTTATTATATTGTACTATGTGACGACTCGGTATTATAATGTTTCATGGATTAAAGTAACATCTGTCACATCCCGAACTAAATTAGGGTGTGACACTAAACGGATTTAATGTGGGACCAATCTCACATTAAACAATTATTGGTAATTAATTAGAGTAATTAATATAGAATTAATTTGACTTTATACAAAATATTTGAGGGTGATTATGAAAAAAAATATGTTTTTGAGTTTAGTATTTTTTAGAAGTATAGATCGGACTGGGATATTGGATCACCTGGTTCAGAAGTGCCGACTCAGACTTCGACCCTAGAATCCTTTGACAGTTTAATAATCCCACGTTCCAATTAATGATACTAGATATTTGCTTGTTTTTTCTTATACGAAACTTTGAATTATTACATTAAGGGCTCATTTGGATGTCGTGTTATGAAAGGTATTAGAGAGTCGTAAAGGATTAAAATATTTTAATCTAGTCTTATACGACATTTGGATGTCAAAAGTTACTAAGTATTATGTATGGTACTAAAGCAAATATGTATACCAACATATATTTTTAATACCCTATACTCATACTATTATACCTATTTTAATACTACTTGGGAGGTGGTATTATAATTCAGTCAAAAAATATAATTCAATTTTATAAATTATTATTTTTTAAGGTCAATTTCATGAACTTTTAAAATCAAGTTACAACTTTTTGGGTGATTAGGATCGAATTTGAAATGTTAGGGTCGGTCTTAAACACTCCAAAATACAAAAGTTATAAATTTTGGTACCATACTTACTTCAATATTGTAGTCAAACACTAATACAAATGGTGATTTTTTAAGTATCATACCGTATATGTTTAAAAGTAGCACATTTTGTAGAATGAAAATAAAAAAGTACTACAAAATAATAAATAATAATAATATTATTTAGACCTAATATGTTAATTTAATATATCATAATTATTAGTTTGATAGCGGGTCTAAAAAAAACTACTAGGATATACCATTAATTCAATAGTCATAAATGATTAATTTAATTAATTAAGTTATTAAATTTTGTTTAGATAATATTATTTAATACATAAATAATTGCTAAGACCAATTCAAGGTGAAAAATGGTGTTGGCTAAAAAGGAGGAGAGAGGATAGCATTGGGGTACACTTCTGTATTTTTGTTTAGGAGCTTAGTAAAATTAGATTTCGAGCTGATTAAGATTTATTTGTTTATATATTAAAATTTGAGTTTATTAAAATATAATTTTTTATATATTAAAACTCGAGCTGATTTAAGTTCAATCCTGAGCTATTAGCACTGATTAAAATTTGATTCGAGTTGATTAAAAAATATATTTTTTACGTATTAAAATTCGGGCTGATTAAAATTTATTTATTTACGTATTAAAATTTTAATCGATTAAAATTTGTATTTTTTTACGTACTAAAATTCGAGCCAGTTAAAATTCAATTTGAGTTTATTAAAATTCTGTGATCGCCTTTGATTTTTGCTAGCATTACATGAGTTTAGTAGTATAGGCTTCAAGTGAGAATGTCCGAAAAGTCACATTAGAATAAAACAATAAAGTCTATAATTTCATATTATATTATATGAATGCACTCGATAGACTTAATTTTTAACTGATAGACTTAATTTTTAACTGTTAAATTACTCAAGTATACAAGGCAGTAGGATATGAACAAGTGATAAGTAGGTTATTAACTAGTGANGTCTATAATTTCATATTATATTATATGAATGCACTCGATAGACTTAATTTTTAACTGTTAAATTACTCAAGAATACAAGGCAGTAGGATATGAACAAGTGATAAGTAGGTTATTAACTAGTGATAACTCGTCTGATGCACTGAGATTGGTTAAATGGGTTTAGTTGAGTTGTCTAGTGTACAATATGAAGAGCTTTTCTCAAACTCATTCTTCCCAAAAACTTTAGTCTCAAATCCAATTAGTTTTAACTTATTTTGCAAACTCAGTTTTTTTTTAAAAATATCATTCTAAATAACGTTTTCATAACGTTTTTAATGAGAGATTTAGAGATCTACACCTCACAACTCATTTTTTTTGTGAACCGGAAGATTCATTAATTCATTACATACTATTTTTGTCATTATCATCACAAAACTGACTTCTGATTACAAAAAAACATGGACAAATAATNTACACCTCACAACTCATTTTTTTTGTGAACCGGAAGATTCATTAATTCATTACATACTATTTTTGTCATTATCATCACAAAACTGACTTCTGATTACAAAATAACATGGACAAAATAATCAACAAATACAATTTTCTCCTTCATTTCATATATAAAAGTCTACTGCCAAGGCCAACTAACACCATATGCAATTAGTCAGAAATAAGAAATTCTCTCTGTCTTCATATTCTTCTTCTCTATGTTTCCATTTCTCTGAAACTCTTAGTGAAAAATACTAAACTCTTGAATCAACCTGTAAAGAAAAAATACGAAACACCTTCAATTTTTTGGTTTATTCATGGCCAACAGTTGCCCTTAAATGATTTCTCATTTTAGAAAGAGAAAGATGATTTCTTACCTGTTCCTCCACCGATACAACCTGGATGTTGTCGGGTCACCATCTTCACCGGTGATGTGCAAAGAGAGAGTAGAAACTTGAAGTAACGGAGAAACAGAAATTAAAGGAGAGATATGGCTTGTGGTGAGTGAGAGAGAAAGAGAGACAGCGCGAAATACTGATAGAGAGATAACCTAAACGTTTAATTGGGTTTTGAATTTTAAATTTTGAAATTTGAAAAATCTTGGAAAGTGGTCTTCACCCTGGTTTCGTGCTAAATTTTTCTTGGAGTTTTTCCCGTTAACTTCAGAGTTAACTTTTCGTCAACAAACCCAGCTCAGTTGATGACTTGGCTTCTTTGAATTGGCAAGCATTCATTGGATATGCACACCCACGTCCTATGTAATACCCATGCAAAAATTTCACTCAGAGAAAATTCCAAGGCAGTTCTTCTGAGACCCCAAAAACTGTCGGTCAAGCTCCATGTTTGCTTTCCCAATGGCGGCTTCTCATCTTCCCTCCCATTCCACTCCTTTCTCAAAATCACTGAACCGCCCTTCAAATCCATATGTCCGTATTCTTCCACTCCTTNGTCAGGATGGACATAAATATTTCAACAAACTAAATATTTTTTTTTTACAATCAATAGAAATAGGACAATAATTTATATTTAATTACATCTTATTTAATATTTAAAAGTTTATTAAACCCAACATACCAAAATTTGGTAAGCTTTAGTTTATATAAATNCTTGGAGTTTTTCCCGTTAACTTCAGAGTTAACTTTTCGTCAACAAACCCAGCTCAGTTGATGACTTGGCTTCTTTGAATATTCTTCTGACATCTGGTCAATTGGCAAGCATTCATTGGATATGCACACCCACGTGCTGTGTAATACCCATGCAAAAATTTCTCACTCAGAGAAAATTACAAGGCAGTTCTTCTGAGACCCCCAAAACAGNCGACACTAAATTTCTTTTTTTTACAAAATATAGGCTAATTAAAATCATTTAGAATTGACTCCGATGAATTTTTATACTTTGAAACCGTTGCATAATAACTTTATTATTTTTTATATACACCATTATTTTATCACTTTGGTCTTTATATATNTCTGAAGATGGGCATTTGTGCTGTGAAGGTCTAAAGGTTCAAGATATCATGGAAACTGTCGAAAGAAGACCGTTTTATCTATACAGTAAGTCCCAAATCACAAGAAACTTTGAGGCTTACAGGGAGGCTTTGGAGGGCTTGAATTCGATAATCGGGTACGCGATTAAAGCTAATAATAATTTCAAGATTTTAGAGCATTTGAGGAGGTTGGGTTGTGGCGCTGTGTTGGTCAGTCGTAACGAACTTAGATTGGCCCTTCGTGCCGGGTTCAATCCCACTAGGTATGTATGTATTGTGTTTGTTTTCAATCCCACTAGGTATGTATCTTTTTTTTAACGTCATTTCCAATAAACTAATATGAACTGTTGGGTTTTTTCTTTCAATAAATACTCTTTTTTTTATAGGAACATGTAAATGTTCTATATGAAACTTACTAACTTCTTCAATTTTGTATTTCATTATAGCTTTAAGTGTGATTAGATAAGTGAGAGTTCAATACTCTATTTCTTTTAACTTCATACATAAACCTGTGGTAGAACAGGTGTATCTTTAATGGAAATGGAAAGACCTTGGAGGAACTAGTGCTGGCTGCCCAAGAAGGGGTCTTTATTAATATTGATAGCGAATTTGATTTGGATAATATCATAGCTGCTGCACGAATTGCAGGGAAGAAGGTTAATGTACTTCTTCGTATCAATCCAGATGTGGATCCTCAGGTGTGTAGCTGCCACATCAAATGCATGTGATGCAAATAATGTGACCTTATGTGACTTTCCGTTATCTTGATGTTAAGAAGGGAAGCTGTTTTTATGATGGGTTAATGGTTGATAACAAAAGATATGAGAAAAATCTAAGCATTAGTAATCACATTGATAGATAATTTTTGTGTCTCCTGAGGTCTGGGGGGTAGAGCCAGAAAGTCATGTCAGGATGGACATAAATATTTCAACAAACTAAATATTTTTTTTTTACAATCAATAGAAATAGGACAATAATTTATATTTAATTACATCTTATTTAATATTTAAAAGTTTATTAAACCCAACATACCAAAATTTAGTAAGCTTAGTATATATAAACGACACTAAATTTCTTTTTTTTACAAAATATAGGCTAATTAAAATCATTTAGAATTGACTCCGATGAATTTTTATACTTTGAAACCGTTGCATAATAACTTTATTATTTTTTATATACGCCATTATTTTATCACTTTGGTCTTTATATATATAACATGTCCAAAATGTGTCNCTTGGAGTTTTTCCCGTTAACTTCAGAGTTAACTTTTCGTCAACAAACCCAGCTCAGCTGATGACTTGGCTTCTTTGAATTGGCAAGCATTCATTGGATATGCACACCCACGTCCTATGTAATACCCATGCAAAAATTTCACTCAGAGAAAATTCCAAGGCAGTTCTTCTGAGACCCCAAAAACTGTCGGTCAAGCTCCATGTTTGCTTTCCCANTATAACATGTCCAAAATGTGTCAAAAAAATTCATATTTATTTGATATAAGTATACACTAATTGATGTGCCAAAAAATAGGGTGGACATAATTAAAAATATTGANATGTGTCCAAAAAATTCATATTTATTTGATATAAGTGTACACTAATTGATGTGCCAAAAAAATAGGGTGAACATAATTAAAAATATTGGAGAAATACTTGAAATACATAGAGGTAATGTTAAGAAAAAAAATTTGAGAGTGGACATGTGCCCCCCCGGGCATATGCTGGCTCCGGCCATGCTCTCNAACCCTACAAAAACCTCAACTTTAGACACACAAATCCAGAACTTTCAGCATTGTTTCACCAAATCTGAAGATGGGCATTTGTGCTGTGAAGGTCTAAAGGTTCAAGATATCATGGAAACTATCGAAAGAAGACCGTTTTATCTGTACAGTAAGTCCCAAATCACAAGAAACTTTGAGGCTTACAGGAGGCGTTGGAGGGCTTGAATTTGATAATCGGGTACGCGGTTAAAGCTAATAATAATTTCAAGATTTTAGAGCATTTGAGGAGGTTGGGTTGTGGCGCTGTGTTGGTCAGTCGTAACGAACTTAGATTGGCCCTTCGTGCCGGGTTCAATCCCACTAGGTATGTATGTATTGTGTTTGTTTTCAATCCCACTAGGTATGTATCTTTTTTTTAACGTCATTTCCAATAAACTAATATGAACTGTTGGGTTTTTTCTTTCAATAAATACTCTTTTTTTTATAGGAACATGTAAATGTTCTATATGAAACTTACTAACTTCTTCAATTTTGTATTTCATTATAGCTTTAAGTGTGATTAGATAAGTGAGAGTTCAATACTCTATTTCTTTTAACTTCATACATAAACCTGTGGTAGAACAGGTGTATCTTTAATGGAAATGGAAAGACGTTGGAGGAACTAGTGCTGGCTGCCCAAGAAGGGGTCTTTATTAATATTGATAGCGAATTTGATTTGGATAATATCATAGCTGCTGCACGAATTGCAGGGAAGAAGGTTAATGTACTTCTTCGTATCAATCCAGATGTGGATCCTCAGGTGTGTAGCTGCCACATCAAATGCATGTGATGCAAATAATGTGACCTTATGTGACTTTCCGTTATCTTGATGTTAAGAAGGGAAGCTGTTTTTATGATGGGTTAATGGTTGATAACAAAAGATATGAGAAAAATCTAAGCATTAGTAATCACATTGATAGATAATTTTTGTGTCTCCTGAGGTCTGGGGGGTAGAGCCAGAAAGTCATGTCAGGATGGACATAAATATTTCAACAAACTAAATATTTTTTTTTTACAATCAATAGAAATAGGACAATAATTTATATTTAATTACATCTTATTTAATATTTAAAAGTTTATTAAACCCAACATACCAAAATTTAGTAAGCTTAGTATATATAAACGACACTAAATTTCTTTTTTTTACAAAATATAGGCTAATTAAAATCATTTAGAATTGACTCCGATGAATTTTTATACTTTGAAACCGTTGCATAATAACTTTATTATTTTTTATATACGCCATTATTTTATCACTTTGGTCTTTATATATATAACATGTCCAAAATGTGTCCAAAAAATTCATATTTATTTGATATAAGTGTACACTAATTGATGTGCCAAAAAAATAGGGTGGACATAATTAAAAATATTGGAGAAATACTTGAAATACATAGAGGTAATGTTAAGAAAAAAAATTTGAGAGTGGACATGTGCCCCCCCGGGCATATGCTGGCTCCGGCCATGCTCTCTACTAAACCCATCAATTGTGCAATAAACGACAAAAAAACTCAAAGAACTGAAAAAGGAACTTTACTCTTTTTCTTTTGGTTGGGCAACTGGGAGTGAGTGAGACAGAGAGGATAAAAAATNGAATTGCAGGGAAGAAGGTTAATGTACTTCTTCGTATCAATCCAGATGTGGATCCTCCGGTGTGTAGCTGCCACATCAAATGCATGTGATGCAAATAATGTGACCTTATGTGACTTTCCGTTATCTTGATGTTAAGAAGGGAAGCTGTTTTTATGATGGGTTAATGGTTGATAACAAAAGATATGAGAAAAATCTAAGCATTAGTAATCACATTGATAGATAATTTTTGTGTCTCCTGAGGTCTGGGGGGTAGAGCCAGAAAGTCATGTCAGGATGGACATAAATATTTCAACAAACTAAATATTTTTTTTTTACAATCAATAGAAATAGGACAATAATTTATATTTAATTACATCTTATTTAATATTTAAAAGTTTATTAAACCCAACATACCAAAATTTAGTAAGCTTAGTATATATAAACGACACTAAATTTCTTTTTTTTACAAAATATAGGCTAATTAAAATCATTTAGAATTGACTCCGATGAATTTTTATACTTTGAAACCGTTGCATAATAACTTTATTATTTTTTATATACGCCATTATTTTATCACTTTGGTCTTTATATATATAACATGTCCAAAATGTGTCCAAAAAATTCATATTTATTTGATATAAGTGTACACTAATTGATGTGCCAAAAAAATAGGGTGAACATAATTAAAAATATTGGAGAAATACTTGAAATACATAGAGGTAATGTTAAGAAAAAAAATTTGAGAGTGGACATGTGCCCCCCCGGGCATATGCTGGCTCCGGCCATGCTCTCTACTAAACCCATCAATTGTGCAATAAACGACAAAAAAACTCAAAGAACTGAAAAATGAACTTTACTCTGTTTCTTTTGGTTGGGCAACTGGGAGTGAGTGAGACAGAGAGGATAAAAAATAAGATAACTAATAAGATAGGTGTTACTGATGTCTGTCAAGTGGGCCAAAAACTTTGTTTTTTAATGGTGGGTCAAAAATTTTATTTTTTTAATAGATTTGGGTGGATTGTGATAGGTCAAATATTTAATTTTTTATGGGTAAATTATANGGGTAGAGCCAGAAAGTCATGTCAGGATGGACATAAATATTTCAACAAACTAAATATTTTTTTTTTACAATCAATAGAAATAGGACAATAATTTATATTTAATTACATCTTATTTAATATTTAAAAGTTTATTAAACCCAACATACCAAAATTTAGTAAGCTTAGTATATATAAACGACACTAAATTTCTTTTTTTTACAAAATATAGGCTAATTAAAATCATTTAGAATTGACTCCGATGAATTTTTATACTTTGAAACCGTTGCATAATAACTTTATTATTTTTTATATACGCCATTATTTTATCACTTTGGTCTTTATATATATAACATGTCCAAAATGTGTCCAAAAAATTCATATTTATTTGATATAAGTGTACACTAATTGATGTGCCAAAAAAATAGGGTGAACATAATTAAAAATATTGGAGAAATACTTGAAATACATAGAGGTAATGTTAAGAAAAAAAATTTGAGAGTGGACATGTGCCCCCCCGGGCATATGCTGGCTCCGGCCATGCTCTCTACTAAACCCATCAATTGTGCAATAAACGACAAAAAAACTCAAAGAACTGAAAAAGGAACTTTACTCTTTTTCTTTTGGTTGGGCAACTGGGAGTGAGTGAGACAGAGAGGATAAAAAATAAGATAACTAATAAGATAGGTGTTACTGATGTCTGTCAAGTGGGCCAAAAACTTTGTTTTTTAATGGTGGGTCAAAAATTTTATTTTTTTAATAGATTTGGGTGGATTGTGATAGGTCAAATATTTAATTTTTTATGGGTAAATTATAAAGGGGTACACCAAATTAGACTTATTTGGCAAAAAGTACACACTAAAAAATGTAGGGTTATTAAGTCCTTAATTTTGATACTTATTTGTATCTAAGTACACAATTTGAATTTGCCTAATTTTTTTGTGACATTTTTGTCCTCCATTGATCCATGTGTATTTTCTTTGGAAAATGGTGCATTAAATATCTCCTATTTTTTTATGGGAGAACTTTAGTATTTAATGCACCTTGATTCATATGTATTTGTTAATACATATATATATATATACGTGTAAAATGTAACATTTTTGAAAGTGTAAAGTGTAACATTGAAAGTGTAAAATACAAAGTATTATCTTATGTCTCACCTTTTTTAATGGAAAGTGTAAAGTGTTATAGGGTAATATTAAAAGTAACAATAATAATGTAACAAGCTATTTACACAAGGTAAGGGGAGACATTATCTAAAATGTTACACAAACAAAATATACGTGTCTCATCTTACACTAAAAATGCTAAATAATTGAGAAAGTGTGAAAGTGTTACACTTTTAATGTTAACATGTAACATTTTATACTTTCCATTAAGTAAGGTGAAACATAAAATAATACTTTACACTTTGCACTTTCAATGTTACACTTTACACGTATATACATACTTGTATATGTACTTTTATATATATATATATAAATATATATATTAATAAATACACATGAATCAATGTGCATTAACTATTAAAGTTCTCCCATAAAAGTAGGAGATATTTAATGCACCACTTTTCCTAAAATGAGCATTTATGTCTTTGTGTCTAACTAGTGTGCCTTTTTTCAAAACATTTTTTAATAAGTATTTTTTGTCAAATAAGTCTAATTAGGTGTACCGACTTTCAAAAACCTCATTTTTTAATAAGTTTTGATAGATAGTGGTAGGCTCAAATTTTTTTATTTTAAATGGGCTTAATTTTTTAATGTTTTTGAGTAAATAATGTGGGCCTAATATTTTTATCTTAGAATTTAGGTGGGCATAAATAATATATTATACAAATATATAATATATATACTTAATTAATAAAAAAAAAAATTTTTGAGGGGNATAAATAATATATTATACAAATATATAATATATATACTTAATTAATAAAAAAAAAAAAAAATTGAGGGCGGCACATGCCCACCCTGGCCCTAGCCTCCCTCTGCCCTTGCCTGAGGTTATTAATTATTATAGGATCATCTACACTTTCATTATTGCCTTTAGTCATGTTAAGTGAGTTAAATTGAAAAAACCATGTTAATTTCCCATGGTTTCAAGGATACATCAGCTAATGAGATACCTGGGAAGTGACGTTCTTGGGGGAAAAATCATGGGGAGCATTATAAACTAGAAAGGCTTTTTAGCAGGATTCCTTTTTTTTTTTTTTTTATGGCTTTTACCCCATAAGTTCAGCCCAGCACAACCAATGGGTTCCATCACACAAGCATCACCTCCAGTGTGAGGTTTCAATGCTTCGAAATAAGGAGGTCCTCGATCCTATCAATGTACTTCTTGGGTATTTGCACCTTTTTGAGTTTGGCTTCCCCCAAATTTCTTGTTGCAATTATTGGATATTGTACAAAAGATTAGCAAAACATTCAAGTCTCATTAGCTTTGATGGTTAATTTTTCATTGTCTGCATGTGTATATTAGGTTCATCCTTATGTTGCCACCGGTAACAAGAACTCCAAATTTGGTATCAGAAATGAGAAGTTGCAATGGTTTCTAGATGCTGTGAAGGCATATTCCAATGAATTGAAACTTGTGGGGGCCCATTGCCATCTTGGTTCTACCATTACCAAGGTCTTATACCAAAACACTGTTTTCTACTTTTCATTTTTCCAATCAACTTTAAAAATATTTGTTCTATCGAAACAATGTTCTCTACAGTTAATTTTTCTTATGCCACTTTAAAACTAATATTTGAATTTTGCAGAATTTTGTGCCTTAGGCTGAAATTTTTGTTGTCACATTGTTGAAAGTATACATGCATTGATGTCTTCCCCCACCCTCTTTGTTCACTTTCCCATTGTGCAATATGGTATCCCATAAAGGGCATAATCTAAATACAGAAGTCCCCAAGCAATATGAAATGTTATTTACTAAGAATGATTTGCCATTTTTGTGTATTGTGTGGTGGTTTTCCAGCACTTTATTTTTTAATTTTTTAGGGGGTGGGGGTGGGGGTGTGGGTGGATTTGATAAATATTCTTTATAATGCTGATGATCATGAACTCTAGAATCTTGTCGATTGCTAAAACTCTGATGCAACAAGCCGTCAACTCTTGTTTGTGGACAGTTCCTTGCTATCCTTTGGTCATCCATTCATTTTTTACCCATTTTCTTTTTTTTTTTTGGGTCTCCTGTATATTGATTCTCCACCAGTTCATCTCTCTTTCTGAGTTTATGCATCCTTATAAATTTGATCATCAACATTCTGATTTTTTTTACTTTAATGGAATATGTATGTTTATCGCAATCTTTATCCTCAATAATATAATGGTTTTTTTTTTTTTTTGTGTTCTACACAAACGTAAAGGTACTATTATTCTCTCCAGGTAGACATTTTCAAAGATGCTGCAGTAATAATGGTGAACTACATCANTCTTTCTGAGTTTATGCATCCTTATAAATTTGATCATCAACATTCTGATTTTTTTTACTTTAATGGAATATGTATGTTTATCGCAATCTTTATCCTCAATAATATAATGGTTTTTTTTTTTTTTTGTGTTCTACACAAACATAAAGGTACTATTATTCTCTCCAGGTAGACATTTTCAAAGATGCTGCAGTAATAATGGTGAACTACATCGACCAAATTCGAGCCCAAGGCTTTGAAATTGATTACTTAAACATTGGAGGTGGTCTGGGGATTGATTATTATCATACTGAAGCTATCCTTCCCACCCCCAGAGATCTTATTGACACAGTAAGAGTCCTGATTTTAATTGTGGCATATAGTTGTATCGTATGTCAATCATGGGGCACAGCAAATATGATTACATGCAGCTAGCCTCTNCTCCAGGTAGACATTTTCAAAGATGCTGCAGTAATAATGGTGAACTACATCGACCAAATTCGAGCCCAAGGCTTTGAAATTGATTACTTAAACATTGGAGGTGGTCTGGGGATTGATTATTATCATACTGAAGCTATCCTTCCCACCCCCAGAGATCTTATTGACACAGTAAGAGTCCTGATTTTAATTGTGGCATCTAGTTGTATCGTATGTCAATCATGGGGCACAGCAAATATGATTACATGCAGCTAGCCTCANCTATTATTCTCTCCAGGTAGACATTTTCAAAGATGCTGCAGTAATAATGGTGAACTACATCGACCAAATTCGAGCCCAAGGCTTTGAAATTGATTACTTAAACATTGGAGGTGGTCTGGGGATTGATTATTATCATACTGAAGCTATCCTTCCCACCCCCAGAGATCTTATTGACACAGTAAGAGTCCTGATTTTAATTGTGGCATATAGTTGTATCGTATGTCAATCATGGGGCACAGCAAATATGATTACATGCAGCTAGCCTCATTCTGCACTACCTTTGTAGTGGAGGGTTCCTTGATATACCAAGGACAGTCTACTGACTTTGTGATGTCTGGAGATGTGATGTTCGATCTACTAAAATGTTCCCAAAATAACCATACCACTTGCCATCACTACAACTTAGTACGTTTATAGAATAGTATGTTACCATAAACAGCCATCAACCGCTGTCTCTGTTATATCACTTCTTCCATATTTCCTGTTAGTAATGATATTATTACTTGATACCACCATTTGGTAACTATGAAGATCATGACGCTTAATCATGTACAATAAATGGCTGCTATGAGGACGTCTTATTACTGGCCAATAGACTCATTGACGAATGGTAATAAACTTTTGGACATTTTGGTGTCTAATTGAAATTGCATTGTTTGTCCGGGTTTGCTNCCGCTGTCTCTGTTATATCACTTCTTCCATATTTCCTGTTAGTAATGATATTATTACTTGATACCACCATTTGGTAACTATGAAGATCATGACGCTTAATCATGTACAATAAACGGCTGCTATGAGGACGTCTTATTACTGGCCAATAGACTCATTGACGAATGGTAATAAACTTTTGTACATTTTGGTGTCTAATTGAAATTGCATTGTTTTTCCGGGTTTGCCNCGTCTTATTACTGGCCAATAGACTCATTGACGAATGGTAATAAACTTTTGGACATTTTGGTGTCTAATTGAAATTGCATTGTTTGTCCGGGTTTGCTCAGCATTAACAGAAGTGCTTATATGGCTTTTGAATTCTTGCCTCCTAATGGGGTATGATATTTAGAAAATCAGCAGCATTGGTACTTTGGACGATGTGAAGGTGCTATTAACATTTTTTATGGGTGTTTGCTGTAGGTTAGAGAGCTGGTGCTTTCACGTAATCTCAATCTCATCATAGAACCTGGGAGATCGCTTATTGCAAATACTTGTNGCAGCATTGGTACTTTGGACGATGTGAAGGTGCTATTAACATTTTTTATGGGTGTTTGCTGTAGGTTAGAGAGCTGGTGCTTTCACGTAATCTCAATCTCATCATAGAACCTGGGAGATCACTTATTGCAAATACTTGCNGTGTTTGCTGTAGGTTAGAGAGCTGGTGCTTTCACGTAATCTCAATCTCATCATAGAACCTGGGAGATCGCTTATTGCAAATACTTGTTGCTTAGTTAATCGTGTCATTGGAGTGAAAACAAATGGGACAAAAAATTTCATTGTGATCGATGGCAGCATGTCAGAACTTATCCGCCCTAGTCTCTATGGTGCTTATCAAGTAAGTTTCTAACACATAAGCTACTCTGTGAATTTGCCTTTGTGGATCAGAACATTGTTGTCAGACAATCCAGGCCCTGCTCCTTCCTTCTGTCACATTGAAAATCAAATTTGCGTCATAGACACCTTCTTTTTTAAATCATTGTGGATTTTTTGCGTTGCAATTAAATGTGTGTATTGGAGTAGAAGTCTAATAATTTTTTGTTGCAGATGATCTAGTAGCCAGTAAATTACTTTTGACTAACTATGTCTGATGACTGTCACCTTAACATCTGAAAAGGCTGCCAGATCCCATTACACTAAATTGCTCCAGTTGTGAACAGCAGAAAGAGTAGTTATTATTCTGTTTCAAGTTTGTATATCCTATTCTAATTAACCCTCCGCATTTTCTCGCACTTGCACGTAATCATTATGTTCTTTTCATAAACTCTTTTAGTTCTTGGTCATTGTTTGACTTTTGAATGCAGCACATAGAGCTGGTTTCTCCTTTACAACCTGATGCTGAGATTTCTAATTTTGATGTTGTGGGTCCGGTCTGCGAGTCGGCAGATTTCCTGGGAAAGGATAGGGAACTTCCAACACCTCCTAGGGTAATGTGTTATGCTTCTTCATGGTGATAGTGTCATCCATACTCTTTCATATTGCACTAAACAGGAAGCGTACTTCTCAGGGTACCGGCTTGGTGGTTCACGATGCTGGCGCTTACTGCATGAGTATGGCATCAACTTACAATCTCAAGATGCGTCCACCAGAGTATTGGGTGTGTGATTTTGACCTTATATAATCTTAGTTATTAAAATTTTCTTTCTATTCTTTGCCAATAGTTGCGTTTGACTTGCATCATAGACAACGCCATCACACTGTTTCTTTACCACTTGAGCTAAGGCACAGGGGTCAATATTTTCTGCATTTATTCAGTGTTAAATAGAAAGTTACGGGCATTTGGGAGGTAATCCAGCATTAGTTGCAAAAAGGAGTAAAATGACTACATGGCTGTNACCACTTGAGCTAAGGCACAGGGGTCAATATTTTCTGCATTTATTCAGTGTTAAATAAAAAGTTACGGGCATTTGGGAGGTAATCCAGCATCAGTTGCAAAAAGGAGTAAAATGACTACATGGCTGCTATGTAGATGTTTGCTTGGTTTATTGAAACCCTTTCTTATCTTGAAATTTTAAATTGTTTAAGATTTCTCTCTATAAATAGTCACGTAGATGGCCTTGGACTTATTTATTGGCATCAATGAGTTTAGAGCACTGCTTTTATATCATTCTTACATTTTTTGGGCACACGGTTCTAATACAATTTTTCCACACCCAAGTCTAGTACTCCTAGCCATGCTCTCCTTTCTTATGAATGAGCACCCACTTGTTATCTTTCTTTTATTCCATAACACAAAGTGTTTCTTTGTTCAATTTTGGCTTGCCTAATAAATTATAAGCAACATAATCAAAATCCCAGTTTGCCCTTTTGAACCGTTTCTCTGAAGGAAGTAACTGCTGAGAATTTGAATTGATGTTTTTAGGTTGAAGAAGATGGATCAATCTCCAAAATCCGGCATGGGGAAACATTTGAAGACCATATGAGATTCTTTGAGGGTCTTTAGCTTATAAAATGTTGCAGACTCTTCCCATTGTTGCCATGCCAGGGTTCTAGGCTAGGACTTCGCTTTTAATTGATGCAAAGCTGGTATCTGTCTGCCTGGATGGATATCGTGTATCCGAATGTCTTTTGATGTCTGAATTATGTATTATCTGTTTTACTATCCAGTTGTTATGATTTATTTCTCCCGAGGGAATTCAAAAAACAAATGGAGAGAATAGGTGATGACGAAACTGCCGCAGGAGGTTAAATGAGTGAGTGTTCATGAGCTTTTTGACGTATTTGTAGAGTTACAAACACTTCAGAGATAGGGGTGAGCAGCAAGCAGCCCCTTATATAGGGTTCCAAACCTGCGCTTTTACAAGCGACCCAACTATGACCCCTTATACCATGCAGTCAGTGTTTGGGGCTCCCGGTCATAAAGAACTCCTGCTGTAGCTTGTCTGCATTGTAAGCATGAGTTTGAAGATCGTGTGATCAGAACGATTTTTCATTTTAAAAGAACCTCTAAAAGATTGCACGTCCCGCCCATCGGTAATAACCTCAATATCATTCCCTATTTGGGATACACAGTATGGAAAATGGGTTAAAACAATGACCTTGTGTGAACCATGTCTTGGTCAACTCAACATTAGGGGTTGCAGTTGTGTTGGGTCGTATCAGTGGTGTTATTTTAGATTCGTGTCAAGTACTATTTAACTTTAATCTAATTTGTTTAATTAATCGTGTCATGTCGTATTGGTTTATTTACTTTTGTGTTATATTCTGTTCACGCATATAACTTGTAAATAAAAAATTTAACTTAGTTTTATGTCTAAAATTTTATTATCAATTAATTGACCCTATGTTCATATTTTTTGTATAAGCTAAAAATTAACTTAATAAATATAATAATTAAAATGAGTAAATATATATATTTTTTTGTATAAGAATTCGGTCTAATAAAATATAATTAAAAATTATTATTTTATTCTTATAATACTATTTAAACGTGTTAATTATATTAATTTTGTGTTATTTGTGTTTGACACAAATCTAACTTATTTATTAGTCATGTTAACGGGCTATGTCAGAAATGGGTTTGTGTCAAGAAATGACAAATTTTAACTTATTAATTTCTGTCGATTTTAAGTTGTATTTTCANTGCGCTTTTACAAGCGACCCAACTATGACCCCTTATACCATGCAGTCAGTGTTTGGGCTCCCGGTCATAAAGAACTCCTGCTGTAGCTTGTCTGCATTGTAAGCATGACTTTGAAGATCGTGTGATCATAACGATTTTTCATTTTAAAAGAACCTCTAAAAGATTGCACGTCCCGCCCAGCGGTAATAACCTCAATATCATATCCTATTTGGGATACACAGTATGGACAATGGGTTAAAACAATGACCTTGTGTGAACCATGTCTTGGTCAACTCAACATTAGGGGTTGCAGTTGTGTTGGGTCGTATCAGTGGTGTTATTTTAGATTCGTGTCAAGTACTATTTAACTTTAATCTAATTTGTTTAATTAATCGTGTCATGTCGTATTGGTTTATTTACTTTTGTGTTATATTCTGTTCACGCATATAACTTGTAAATAAAAAATTTAACTTAGTTTTATGTCTAAAATTTTATTATCAATTAATTGACCCTATATTCATATTTTTTGTATAAGCTAAAAATTAACTTAATAAATATAATAATTAAAACGAGTAAATATATATATTTGTTTGTATAAGAATTCGGTCTAATAAAATATAATTAAAAATTATTATTTTATTTTTATAATACTATTTAAACGTGTTAATTATATCAATTTTGTATTGTTTGTGTTTGACACAAATCTAACTTATTTATTAGTCATGTTAACGGGCTATGTCATAAATGGGTTTGTGTCAAGAAATGACAAATTTTAACTTATTAATTTCTGTCGATTTTAAGTTGTATTTTCGAGTTTGTGTCAAAAATTACTATCACTAATCAACATAGCTTTCACACTAATTTCTCAACNCGTTAAACCCATTAAATAAATTAGTCAACACAAACTAACTCACGAAAGTAGTGTATTTGAATGAGCAAGGTTGTGAAAGAGGTGATGGCCACAAGAGAAAAGGTAGCACATGGTTACACATGCTTAAATTAGATATACCTCAAATTATAATTTGATCTCCTCACGTATGATTCTATCTCACTTTGTCTCTTGATTTATTGAATTTTTGCATTGTTCCTATACCTACCTGAATTGATTTTATATTATATCAAAAGCAGGCATCCATTATTTTTTTATGATCAATGTCCACGTGTCGGGCAATGTGAAACAAAATTACATATTTTAGGAACCACAATGCATCGAGCGACACTACCATTTTTTGGGTTCCCACTAATTTTTTCTTAACGTTATTTTATAACTTGAGTGATTAAGCTAGAGATTTAATTTTGGGCACGTTTTAAGGTTACTGTATAGACCATCGAGTCGAAGGCATTGGGACACATGGAACTCGACCTCAAAAATTTAAATCATATCACACTGTTGCGGAACGATATCTTGTGCAAAAATGTCAATTAATTCAATGACCATAGACTTGAACGACTCGTTTGAAACTAGTGGTTTACATGAAATCTTAAATGGCATAAAAAAAAGAAAATCACCGAGTTGGATGCGACACGGCCGAGTATAGCCGACACTCTGAATCAGACCGATGCATTTTTTAGACTCTGTGCAAAGGAGACTGTGCCAGGATTAGAGCCTTTTTGGAGGATGTNGCTTTTTCCCAACTCAACCACCATGAATCGCAAAAAGAAAATGATTAAAAAACCAAACTGTTTGGTGTGTTAGTTGAATTATATTTGCAAGTACATATATGTATTTGCTTTTAGGTGCATCTATCTATGGGTTCGATAAGTGCGTGGTTGAAATAATTTTTTATTATAAAAAATAATAAATTATGCAAAATAGAAAGGGTAACTTGGTAACATCATTCCTTCGAGAATTAACACCAACTAATACTCTTGTCTTTCACTACTTACATATTTCTTGCCCATAATCACACACCTTAATAATAAAACACTAAACAAGTTTATTTTTCAACGCATAGTAGTCGGCAGTGTGGAGGAAAGTGACGCCGGTGTCGATGGCATGGTGGATGAGTTTGATCATTTCCGCTTCGGGTTTTGGAGGGCCGTAGCCGAAAGACATGCCCTTGCAGCCCAACCCTTGTTGTGATACCACCAGACCCTGTGAACCCAATTTGCTTCTGCCTAATGTTGATGAAATTGTGTCCTTTGTTTGGATTGAACAAAGGAATGGTTCGTTTAGTTGTTGCATAGAGTGACGGCAAATGAAGAAGAAGGCACAGATTATTTGACGGAGGACAGTGTTGTAAAGGTAGCACATGGCTACACATGCAAGAAATCCTTTTTTAAGAGGGTGGTTCGTTTAGTCAAATATAGTATAGTAGGGCTTATGATTCCAATAACATATAATATAGAAACTTCAAGTGCAAATTTTAAAGAATGAGAATCTCTTACATGTATATATGAAACTTATCTTGATGTATGAAATTTGGATCGGTTGGCCCTCCTACATAAGGAGATTTTATTTCCTTCGAAGACTTTTGTCAATCTGTTTTAGTCATCCATCCTTCAAACATTCGAAGAATTTTTTTCTTCTTCTTTTTTTCTTTTTTGTATTTTATATTTGAGTTAGGATTTTTTTTTGACTATGTGAGTTTGTTCTACAATTCTAGACATGAATTGCGATTTTGATACAAAATCATTATAAAATTAATGAATTTAAGATTCAAATGATAAATTGTTAGATTCGTTAAACCCATTAAATAAATTAGTCAACACAAACTAACTCACGAAAGTAGTGTATTTGAATGAGCAAGGTTGTGAAAGAGGTGATGGCCACAAGAGAAAAGGTAGCACATGGTTACACATGCTTAAATTAGATATACCTCAAATTATAATTTGATCTCCTCACGTATGATTCTATCTCACTTTGTCTCTTGATTTATTGAATTTTTGCATTGTTCCTATACCTACCTGAATTGATTTTATATTATATCAAAAGCAGGCATCCATTATTTTTTTATGATCAATGTCCACGTGTCGGGCAATGTGAAACAAAATTACATATTTTAGGAACCACAATGCATCGAGTGACACTACCATTTTTTGGGTTCCCACTAATTTTTTCTTAACGTTATTTTATAACTTGAGTGATTAAGCTAGAGATTTAATTTTGAGCACGTTTTAAGGTTACTGTATAGACCATCGAGTCGAAGGCATTGGGACACATGGAACTCGACCTCAAAAATTTAAATCATATCACACTGTTGCGAAACGATATCTTGTGCAAAAATGTCGATTGATTCAATGACCATAGACTTGAACGACTCGTTTGAAACTAGTGGTTTACATGAAATCTTAAATGGCATTAAAAAAAAAAATCACCGAGTTGGATGCGACACAGCCGAGTATAACAGACACTCTGAATCAGACCGATGCATTTTTTAGACTCTGTGCAAAGGAGACTGTGCCAGGATTAGAGCCTTTTTGGAGGATATGAGTTTTACCAACTAGTGTCATAGTGATGAAGGAAAAGCAAGTGGCATTAAGTAAACAAATCCTCAATAAGACTAAGTAATTAATGATTCTAATTTCAATTTGTCAACAACTACCCTAACTATCTATGCGTCTTGATTATTTTTCACTAAGCCATCAAAATATCGCTCTAGCGAAGTCTATGGAGTATAGGGGAAGAACCGATAATTAAACAAGGAAAGTGTGTACAATGGCAAAATACGATTCATGTAGCCGACTTGAACTATATAAAACAACTTTGTTGAGTTGAATCCAACGAGAGTCTGTGTGGTATATAAGGTAAAAGCAAGACAGAATGAGAATGACACCAATCAAATAATACACATCTTGATTACACTCAGAAATCTCGAAAACTCATTTTAGGGTCTTCCTGCTTCCTACCACCTCGTCCTCTTCCTCTGCTTTTCCCCCTTCCTCTCCCTCTCCCTCCCCCTCCCATGCGTCTGTAAAATGATTTTCCGTGCTTCATCTGTACCAGCGAATGCAGAAGTTCATCACAAAGAACACACCCAACATACAAGGTAGCTCCATCTTTCAGGGGTGTTGTTTTCTTATTGAAGTCAACTTCTATTACGGTGGAATCACATTCAGCGCATCGTTCCCGAGTTGTAGAAATCCTATGAGCACCACTAGGAAGGAAAACAAGACAATTGCACATGTTGCAATAAAGCCTCCATTTGGGAGCACTGACTGGGTCAAGGACAAGTGTTCCATCGCATTCTGGGCAAGCACAAACTCCTTGGGCAATCAGAGAATGCTGGCAGGTGGGGTGTGGGCAGAGGATACAAGGCATGCCGGCTCCTTTTCCCAACTTGCCAGAACCACCGGATTTGGTGGCACCAAATAACGTGTCTATACCTTCAAATGGAGGACTGTTGTAACAGTAAGGGCAGAGAGGGAATGACTTGCCTTCTGGGCCGGCCAATGAGAATAACAAAAGCTCAAAGTTGTCCAAAGGGCACGTAAGTTCCTTGTACAACTGCACATATGCACACACACATAGGAAAATGATTGGTCAAGACAACGAAGTATTCTAAGCATAAAAGCTAGAATACACATAATCAAATTGCAGACAGTACAGCAAGAGATATATGCACAGGTTCCATATCTTAACATTCTACAAGAAAGAAAATGTCAAGAAAGATGATAATTTATATTACCTTAATTGTACCCTTTTGAGGAACATAATAAACTTCTTCACATGTACCACAGTATAGCCGTGATGGCTGGGAAGAGATGTACTTCATATATCGTAGGCATTTGCCACATTTGCTAAGCAAACGTCCAGAATCTGAAAGTGGAGAGAACTGTGCTTCAAACAATGCATCCATATTATCAATCTGCATCATGCACACCAAAAAAACTGAAGATCAAGGCTTTGAAACACAAGCCATATTTTAAATGAATAAAGAATACCAAGAACTGAGGAACTAATCTAATTTTGGGAAGTTATAGCACCATGCAGAACATAATCTTGCTTTCTTGGACCCCACAAAAGCACTGCATTGCAACCGATAATCACTTGGACAACAAATAGAGTCGTATCTACTTACGATAAGCACCAACATGGTGTTTGAAACAATGATACTNTAATCTTGCTTTCTTGGACCCCACAAAAGCACTGCATTGCAACCGATAATCACTTGGGCAACAAATAGAGTCGTATCTACTTACGATAAGCACCAACATGGTGTTTGAAACAATGATACTTTGGATCGTGGGTCGCTTTGGTACGTGATACATATATGGGTACATGATACGACACTTTCTTAGGCACGTAGTACGATGGGGATAGATTTAGTTTGTACGGTATTTTAGGTCGCAATTCATTTTAAAACTCTTATGTAGATCGTTTTCACTATTATATGACATTATTTATTACACATCATTCATAAACACTAAGTTAGTTACCATTTATCTTATAGTTGTGCTTGATTTTCTATTGTTACATGCAAACCATGTTGCGATATGGCATGCCCTCACCCTTTCACATTTGATACCGTGAAATGACCATTTATACCACTAAGAAGCATTATTTGGCGATGTATTAGTGGCACCACTCAGAGCGAAGAGTTAGGCAGATAGTGTAGTATGGGCCCTCTGACTTCTAGCTCTATGTTGTGCGGCTCCTATGAAGTGAATGGAGGGAAGCTCATAGAGCTTTCTCCACAAGCGGCTTATATGGAGTGGTCGTCCTTATAAAGCTCCCAAAACCTCGCTTCCCTCCACTTTTGACAACTTGGCCACTCTCGCCTTGCTGGGCTGAGGTGCCCTCAACAGGTTCTAAGGAGGACCTAGCATCAACACAGTGTTTAGTGTCCCTCTTGGGCTGGTTTTCATCAGTTTTCTTTATTCAGTAAATTTTTGCTGTAACACCTTATGCTCGAGCTTCCTAGGATCAAAGGTTGCTCTCTATCAAACTTTGTGAGGGCTGCACTGGGATCGGGTGTACTATTGTTCAAAGAAGGATTGAACTCATGGATATTTCAACGTATTCCTTTGAATTTAAAATATTCCAAGAACTGAAATTTTTTTCCCTGTTGGTCCAAAAGCAATTCGAAAAATTCCTTCAAGGCAAACCAAGAAAGAGAGGTAAAGGTTAGATACTGCAGATTGCAGAGCCGTACAGATTTTCTCCTGATCACCATGAATTTTTGTCAAATCAACCAAGACTAAATCAGATGCTTAAATTTTATTGGTTTTTCTAACACAAAATCAGAAAAACCTATCAAGCCCCACTATTCAAGAATTCAGAGGATAAATTTGATCATCAAATTGATATATTATCACCTGTTTAACAAAGTAACTGAACTTGCGCTTGAATTGTTCAAGTACATGCCGCACGACCAGGGAATGATCTGCTTGGCCTTTAGCAACAAGAGTGATTTGCTGCTCAATGAAACTCCGAATGTCAGGCAAACAGAGATCCGGATCTATACATTGGTAGCCTCTAATTAGGCTGATACCTAAAGCAGTTGGAACCAACCTCCTTCCAGCTTGTACCTGAATTTAAATAACCATATCATGAAAGAATTTTACACTAGGATTTACCATGTAAGGGCAACATATGCTCAAAGTGCCCCAAAAGGAATTTGCCATACTTCCATTTTTTTAGCAAATTATTTTCTGTTTATAGGTGAAGAATATAACTAACCTGCACATAGTTGCGCTCACATATGTTGTTAATATGTACAGGAATGGAGGCATCTGTTCCTATTCCGTTTTTTTCCATCAAGGATATCAGTTCACTTTCAGTAAGATAATCTGGAGGCGCAGTGTTCCCCTATAATTTTGGAATTTTAGTTAGTAGATGCAAAAAGCAGTAATAAATCCAACACTCCAATATGTGAATTCATGTATATATATATATATATATATGCACGTGTGTTTTTCCGTATTCAAAGATAACATGGAAGATGCAGTGCCAGTTTCAACACTCCCAAAGGGCCATGAAGCACATTCAAATCCAGTTACCATGTTATGAGCCTGATATGAGATGTCTTCACCTCAACAAGGATGATGAACTTCATTATTTGATTTTTATACANTTCCGTATTCAAAGATAACATGGAAGATGCAGTGCCAGTTTCAACACTCCCAAAGGGCCATGAAGCACATTCAAATCCAGTTACCATGTTATGAGCCTGACATGAGATGTCTTCACCTCAACAAGGATGATGAACTTCATTATTTGATTTTTATACAAAAAAATATAAATCTTTTCAATCTTTTTATCTTGAATTTACCAAATACACAGAAATTGAGGAGTTGAAAGTACATAAATTAACAAATATTGAAAACTAGTCAAGAAAGATGAAAAGTGAGGATACGTAATGCAATACCTAAGTCAAGAAAGTTGTGAAGTAAGGATGGTTAATGCAATACCTCATACAACTCAACTTTTGAAATTTCTACTTTATCCCCTTCCTTAAAATGAGGGAGAGAGATTTCATTTACTGCCAACCATGGCATAATTGAGGTAAATCCTTTGACTGTAACACGCTGGCCAACAAAATGGAAGAATTCTCCTCTAGCTGAAAAATCGATCTTCGTCCTGCAAGCAAGGCATCAAATAGTGCTCATTAGGCTCCACCATTCTGTTTTTTTTTAATCCACAACATCATGTATTACTGTTCTAGCAATGCCAATAATATTATGTGAAAATTATGGACAACATTATCCAACTGAAATAGGTATGACAAAATGAGAGAATTCGGCACCAAGTAACATAAGTGATTCATATATACTGAAACCTTCGCAGAGACCAAACAGTTAGTTCTATTTGAATAAAATTCAGTGGTAAATGCTGTTCAGTGATCAAGTACAGACATAAAATGGGATCAACCATTTATAGATTGGAACTTCCTTCAATTTCTACTGATTCTACTCTGTCCTAACAAACCTAGGGTTGTTTCCTAAAAAGAAAATACTTGAACTTAATGTTGTACTTGATTGAATTTCAATTCAAAGGAAACTAAGTGTGGGCCTTTTTTTAAAAAAAACCTCAGCTGAGGATTTTATTAATAAAGAGAAAAAATAGTAACTGAAGAAGGGGGAAGTAGTGAGCCTTTACCCCAATAGCCGAGTATAGTGATGGCAATATAAAATGAACCAATGCAAAGCATGAGTTACATCCAAGCTTTAAAAATAAATCCGGATTCAAAGCTTAAAATGAAAACCAGGATAACCAGTGATGTCCCGCTTAACATGTTGAGCAATGAAATTTGGAGGAGACGTCCACCAAGTGAAGGATGAAGCCAAGATACCAAAATTTGCAAGACCACTTGCAACTTGGTTTCCCTCTATAGACATGTGAGATTTGAATTTGCATGGATTGCATTTGATGTCAACAATTCTCAGGGAACAGATAAGCATATAGATGAAATGCTGCACACGAGAATTTGGAGTCACACTCAATCCAAATTCAGTTCCACCCAAAAGCTGCAGCTATATCAACCCCACTCCCAAAAGCTCAGCATAATAAGCATTCTGAGTCCCAATGGAAGGTTGTAAGCACCTTTAACAAACCACGGGAAGTGCAGAATATACCCCCACAAGCTGCCGGACCCGGGCAGCTCCTTGCAATACCATACCATCGTTGTTGAGGAGCTAAAATAACTCTCATAGAATGCTTGTTAAAGGAATACCCGCTAAGATTTGATCAAATAAGTCCTTCTGGAATAAATATTTAGCTGTTTGTGAACCCTTTAGAATTGGTTTTTTTTTTTTCAATTACTATTTTATGTGCATATGTGATGTAGGACAGAAAGGACTAGAATTTACATAATAGAAAGAGAATAAGAAAGAAGTGNAAAAAAAATATAAATCTTTTCAATCTTTTTATCTTGAATTTACCAAATACACAGAAATTGAGGAGTTGAAAGTACATAAATTAACAAATATTGAAAACTAGTCAAGAAAGATGAAAAGTGAGGATACGTAATGCAATACCTAAGTCAAGAAAGTTGTGAAGTAAGGATGGTTAATGCAATACCTCATACAACTCAACTTTTGAAATTTCTACTTTATCCCCTTCCTTAAAATGAGGGAGAGAGATTTCATTTACTGCCAACCATGGCATAATTGAGGTAAATCCTTTGACTGTAACACGCTGGCCAACAAAATGGAAGAATTCTCCTCTAGCTGAAAAATCGATCTTCGTCCTGCAAGCAAGGCATCAAATAGTGCTCATTAGGCTCCACCATTCTGTTTTTTTTTAATCCACAACATCATGTATTACTGTTCTAGCAATGCCAATAATATTATGTGAAAATTATGGACAACATTATCCAACTGAAATAGGTATGACAAAATGAGAGAATTCGGCACCAAGTAACATAAGTGATTCATATATACTGAAACCTTCGCAGAGACCAAACAGTTAGTTCTATTTGAATAAAATTCAGTGGTAAATGCTGTTCAGTGATCAAGTACAGACATAAAATGGGATCAACCATTTATAGATTGGAACTTCCTTCAATTTCTACTGATTCTACTCTGTCCTAACAAACCTAGGGTTGTTTCCTAAAAAGAAAATACTTGAACTTAATGTTGTACTTGATTGAATTTCAATTCAAAGGAAACTAAGTGTGGGCCTTTTTTTAAAAAAAACCTCAGCTGAGGATTTTATTAATAAAGAGAAAAAATAGTAACTGAAGAAGGGGGAAGTAGTGAGCCTTTACCCCAATAGCCGAGTATAGTGATGGCAATATAAAATGAACCAATGCAAAGCATGAGTTACATCCAAGCTTTAAAAATAAATCCGGATTCAAAGCTTAAAATGAAAACCAGGATAACCAGTGATGTCCCGCTTAACATGTTGAGCAATGAAATTTGGAGGAGACGTCCACCAAGTGAAGGATGAAGCCAAGATACCAAAATTTGCAAGACCACTTGCAACTTGGTTTCCCTCTATAGACATGTGAGATTTGAATTTGCATGGATTGCATTTGATGTCAACAATTCTCAGGGAACAGATAAGCATATAGATGAAATGCTGCACACGAGAATTTGGAGTCACACTCAATCCAAATTCAGTTCCACCCAAAAGCTGCAGCTATATCAACCCCACTCCCAAAAGCTCAGCATAATAAGCATTCTGAGTCCCAATGGAAGGTTGTAAGCACCTTTAACAAACCACGGGAAGTGCAGAATATACCCCCACAAGCTGCCGGACCCGGGCAGCCCCTTGCAATACCATACCATCGTTGTTGAGGAGCTAAAATAACTCTCATAGAATGCTTGTTAAAGGAATACCCGCTAAGATTTGATCAAATAAGTCCTTCTGGAATAAATATTTAGCTGTTTGTGAACCCTTTAGAATTGGTTTTTTTTTTTTCAATTACTATTTTATGTGCATATGTGATGTAGGACAGAAAGGACTAGAATTTACATAATAGAAAAAGAATAAGAAAGAAGAGGGGGTGGAAGGGGTTTGCCTCATTCTCGTAAGGAATCGGTGAAAAAACACACAAATTTTTCGTGGAGAATCACTTTTTATTATATCACTCTCTCTAATAAAAATAGTTGGGATTACACCATTATCTATAGACCAAGTTCCCTACCAAAATAAAAACTATTCTCCTACTAAAATTTTAAAAGAGATTCATAATCAAACTCTTAAATCCCTAACTTACTAAAACTCTATAATAATTCTCTAATCAAACTCTAACTCATACTCGTAGTCAAACAAATATTCCCTAACTAATATAATAACGGTAAAACAAATAATTCAATTCAGTTCTTCAAATTAAGCTCATCTAATCCCTTTTCGATCTCTATCAATATGCAATGTAGACATAGGATTCAACATTAATCCTATACCCAATACACCAGAACTCATTGTCTCTTCCTAGTAGTAGCTTGTAGGAGATGTAAGGATTGATATATAGAATAAATTTTTATTCAATTGATAATCACACAAAGCATATGATATTTTGGCCCCTTGCATTAACCTCAAACTTTCGTCTTGCATGGGCGCCCCCTTGGATGCACACTATAATAGCTGGTAGAAATTTTTTAGTGGTATATCAAACGAATGAGTGTCTCTCCGAATATGGATTTCATACCATCTTCATAAACTAAAAACCCATAACACATATTTGGATTTCATGCCACCTTCATAACTGAAAACCCATAAACCCAAGTGTTACGACGATACAGTTTAACCCTCTCTGCCTATTGTTAGTCATGTTTTGCAAGAAAAGCATTAGAACTTTCCTTTATAGGCCAATCACAACAATTCATGATGGTTCTTATACTAGAACCCTCATTTTCACTAATATTTCTACTTTCGCGAACTGTAAATGTTATTGCCACTGTATTTGTCACTCCCATTTATAGTGTAATGACTATAGATTATGACCGGAGGTCCAATATGACTATTATTATAACCTTTTAGCTTAGTCGCCATTGACAAGTTTAGCTTGAAGCAATGGTATTGCTTGTAAGACTGTACAATATGGCTTCTTTTTGCTTGACCAAAGAAGAATCCCCATCACAAGTTTTAACCCTCAACTTCTATCAACTACGTCCATATTCAAACTCGCAGTATCAGCCATCAACTCAAAAGGCACCAATAGATATCGGTTGTGGCACTACGACACGGAATCGCCCAAAAAAAAAACCTACATATAAGGCTCAAAAAACTTCTACAAAAATCACGAAAATTCTAAAACAATGTAAACAATATCATTGAAGTATATATGACCAAAACACATTCCTTAACACATTAAACATAGTAAAAATAAAATATAAATGCGCTGCAAAAATTATTTAACATCATCCGTGTTCACATTGAACATTTAAGAACATGCCCATTATTCAAAAATTAAGTATAAATTATACAAAAATTGTAAAAGTAGGAATTGCACTTATTTCTAAATTGGAATTATTATTTAATTTCTAATTATTTGATTTTAATTTTTTTTTTGGAATTTAGAAATATGGAAAAATATAATTATGAATGCACAAGTTACACTTTTTTATGCACCCAAAAGTAGTAAAAAAATTACCTTAAAAAAGGTAACTTGAGACCCAAAAAAGCTATTTAACTCAAGAACTCAGTAACTCCTCAACTCATAACTCCGTAACGTAATCCCGGGGATTGAAATAATACATGGAAGACTCATGAACTCAGTAACTCCTAAACTTAGTAACTCAATTCAGTCATCCCTTACTCTATTCCTTTCTAAAGTTAGGAATAGTGGGATGGTTAAGATCAGCTATTACTACTCTTACTCTGGCTTCCAGCTCAGAACTATGAAATAGCGTGGTTTGGTTATATCATAAGTGACCATTGAAACTTACATTGACTAGTGGGCAGCTTTCTCCATGTGTCATGACGTCGATACAAGGCAAGAGTAAAGACTCGAAGTCGATACCAAAATCGTAATCATACGGATCACTTCTGGTAAACAGGCTGATAAGACAAGAAGGCAATGATTATTTCTATTCTAGAGAATATCGTGAGGGCAGAAGGCAAAAGCCAGAGCAAGGGTAGAGATGTAATGTTACCTACCTGTTGTTATCTCTAAAGTAATAGGAATGTGTCTGAAAGTTGGACGAAAGGTGGTGGGCCTCTATTCGACAACGCCTCCAAACACAGTTATGTCGACGCGACTGTGGCTCCATACCCTCAGAAAGGGGTATGGGAGACAACAAAAATTCGTTTTTTAAGTAAAAATTCATCCCTTACTCCATTCTTTCCTAACGTCCG